CCCTGCCCTTGAAGTCCATGTCCTCTCTGAGGACCACACTGACTGTGCTTCCAAGTCTTAGAGCTGGCAAAGAGCATGGAGGGAGGGGTGCAGTAAGGACAGGGCTGTGTTTTCTAATTTCTAACATCTGTACTTGGTGATTGGTAGTTTCTCTTCTTTGTAAGTATTATTTTCATGGAACATTTTATATAGATACATTTTCATTGTAAGAGAGTTAATATATGCTTCAGATGGCAAAACATGGAAGTCCCCACTTATCTCCTCCCACCCCATTCCCAAGGCTCCTGGCACATCACTCCTATTCCTTTATTATGTTTATACACATTTGCATAGCTTGCATTTCTCTAAAAGTAGAGAACCATACTGTGCATATTATTCTACAATTTTGTTTGGTTTTCTAAAATAATGACTTGGATATCTCTATCTCCTTTTTGTTTCTCTATTACTGGTGTTCTGCAGGGTAGTGTTGATGACTGACACTCGTGTATTTTCACACACACAGGATTCATCCTGTAGGTTCAGTTCCTAAAAGTGCCATTCCCAGGCCCAAGGAAATTCCTTAAATTGTTCATCTTATTTTCCTCTCAACGGCTCTGTCCATCTTGCTTCTTTTTCTTGAAAATTTATGACCGCTGTAGATGTTTAGAAAACCAAGATTGTGTTCTAAGATAAACTTCCTGGCTGTGATTCGTTTCCCTGGGAAAAAGAGTTGTAAACAGTGTGTTTTATAATGTTAATCATTTTATTTGACAAAGCAAAATGTGACTGATCTCAGGATGTGATCGTTTTAGCGAGGAGGTGATAGATAGGACCCTTATCCAGACTCTAGGGATCAAGTGCGTAAACTTTTGAAGAGATAATAGGAAAGTATTGTTCAAAAACTAGCTTCGGCCCTCCCTGGTGGCGCAGTGGGTTAGGACGCAGAACTGCAAGCTGGCCACAGCCAGCCACTTCAGTGTGGGTTCCATCCCCACCCCAGAGGTGATCCACATGGGGTGGCAGACCTCTCCTGACCCGCCCGCTGTTCCCCTTAGCAGTGTACTTCCTCGATTCGTCTATTCTGTTCCCCACTCTTGTCTCCGGGGAAGCCTCTCACCATCCTGCATCTCTGGGCCTGTACCCCAGTTCTGTATGATAAATAAAGAAATCCTTAAAAAAACAAACAAAAATAGCTTCTAACAAGTCAGGTATTTTCCTGTAGAGAAACCTGGCATACTCCACCTCACCTGGAGCCCAAGGTCAGCCTCACGTGATAATCACATTCATGTCATCCAGTGATGTAACCCAGTGGTGAATGCTTCCTCAGGGCTGTTCTCTCTCTACACCCAGAAACCTCACCCCACCATGAGAAAATAGCAGAGAATTGCTATTGAAGGGACAGTCAATAAAATATCACATTACTCTTCAAGAGTGCAAGTTTATGCAAGACAAGCAAAGCCTGATAAACTTTCACGACAGGGGCACACTCAGATGAAAACTAAATCCTCATATTGGCTGGCTCCTGTGACGGAGAAAGCATGTCCCTGGGGAAACTGGTAGAGACGACTGTACCAATATTAATTCTTCGTTGTGATAAACACACCTTGATTATAGATGCTACAAACCTACTTGAACCTAGGTGCAACTGTTCTGTAACTTCACAACTATTAGTGTCAACTGAGTTATTATAAGTCATTAATTTCATTAATTTAATTTTGTGTCTCTTACAATAACATAAATTGGAATAATGTGAGTTTGTAAGTGTCTCTTGACTTCTGGACATGTACTTCTATAAAGACCATCGCCAGGCCCTCCTTGGTGGTGCAGCAGGTTAAAGCACAGCACTATGAAGCTCTCCATAGCCCCTGCAGCATGAGTTTGATCCTCAGCCAGGGAGGTGACCCACATGGCACAGCAGACCTCTCTTGTCTGGCCCGCTCCTCCCTTGAGCAGTGTACTTTGTCAATCTGCCTGTTCTGCTCCCCACTCTGTCTCTGAATCCTCTTATCACCCCTGCACCTCTTGCCTGTATCCCCATTCTGTATGCATAAGTAAATAAATCTTTTTAAAAATAAAAGACCATCTCCCCTAGAAAACCATTTTTTTGTTAATCTGGTAGATCTTAAATCCAGTGGATCTTGTCCCAAAGGAGCAAGTTCATCACTACTCACTGGGCTGAGCTGTGATGCAGTGGGAGAGAGGATGTGATTGAGTGAGGCAGTGTAGTCCTGGACAACAGCTAAGCCAGAAAAAAAGGGACCTGAGTTTGTGGACACTGGCAATAATGCAGGGAACAGAATACGGGAGCCAAGAAGACTGTGCTTGGGAATGGCCGGCCAGAGAGAAAGCCCAGCCTTAAGATGATTATTCTCAAATAAATTATTGTAAGTGGGGGACAGAAGTCACCCTAACCAGGCAGAGGGCTCATCTCCCTCACAGTGACATGATGGGTGAACAAAGGCCTCTCCAGTGGGAGCAGTGACCCTTGAGCAAAGATGCTCTGGAAGAATGGAGATATCTGGGGAGCCTCTGGAGTTAGCCTGTGTCTAGACATTGTTTACAAGAGACATAGTCCCCGGGTGTAAGGCAACTACCCAAAGCCATGCAGAATGGTTGGACCAGTTGCTAAAAAGATGTCCAGTCTCTAGGAGGAGATGGTGTTGAAATAGGATACCTCTATGCAGACATGAGATGATTAGTCATATCTGTGCCCAAGACAACTGTGAATCACTCCTGCTTGGTAAATTGGGATCCAACATCTCCTTAGTTAATATAACTTTCCTGAATGGATGGACCATCTGTTTACAATCTTAGTTTCAGCTCCCTATTATGTAATCGGCACCCAAACAGGGACTGTTTCCAAATCTCTTGCTGCAAACCCCGGGCTGGCGAACAGGTCACAAACAAGCAGAAGGCAGCTGTTTCTGCCGACATCCACTGTGCTGGTGGATCACATGCTTGATGGGATGTGCTGCTCTGAGCTCCTCTCCACTGCGCTTCTGACCCCAAGCTGCAGGCTGGGAGCAAATGCCTTTGGCTACAGAACCACAGACAGGCTCTAGCAAATGCTTGTCATTGCTTTTTTCCTCTTAAACAACTCTTAAAACGTGTGTTTCCTGTGTCTTCCCCCATATTTTCATGGCTTGTGACAGTGGTTGAAGTTTAGAGACGTGTTTAACACTAAGGTGAAAGCACATTTCCAGTTAGGGATGTAGTGCTGTCAGTAAGTTGATAAACACTCGCTTTACTTAATGTTTAATAAGAAATTGGGTGTGTGCTTGATGTAATGCTAATAGCATTTAGGCACATCCATGTGAGAGATTTTGGTAAATCTGACAAACCCCCCTGGACCCAGACATTTCCCAGAAATCAAACACCTAGTTTTTTTTACTTTAAATTATTTATTCTAGATAAGTTTTGTTTCTAAGTAGGCAAAAGTAGTTTTATCTTCTAGTATCTAACTGTGTCAATCTATTTTTTTCTTCCCCTTTTTTTAATAATATAACAGTTTTTTTACATCATTTTAACAGTTTCTACTTAATTTGTATTCTCTTTGAGCCCATTAGCTAACCTCCCCCCCCCCCAATATCAATATCTTCTTTGCTGTAAATCCATTCTAAAACTACATTGTTGCTTGTCTGGTCTTGTTACCACTTCCTCCAGCTGTGACTTCTCACAGGTTCTGTCCCAAGGTCATCGTCCTTACTATCCCCGGCAGGTGGCCTTCAGGATACTCAGTGTCCTTGGGGACACTGGGGCACAAATATCCTAACGCTCCTAAGGCTTTGTGAAGGGTACCCTGTGGATTTTAGGGATATACTTTGCCTACATACCTCAGTCTCTAGTAACTTCTCAGGCGATACTTGGAAGTTACTATCTTCTATTTTTATTCTGCCTAGATACATTTTAAGGGGTGCACAGAAAACAAAAGCAGTAATATGGTTTTAAATTAATCCTTTGTAATAATCAAGTAAAACAAAAGAAGACTTTTGTTTACTAGTTAAGAAGTTGATTGGTTTTTATTAGCTTTTCTTGATTTGAATCATGGTTATCTTTCTAGATATCTGTTTGTTTGTAATAGTTATCTTCTAGCTATTTGGACTCCCTAAGAATGAAATTCTTTGTTACTATACAAATGACAGTTTTTTCAGTGGCATCCACTTTTTAATGACAGTGAACTCCCTGGAAGAAGATTTTTCTCCTAAGCAGGGTCCAGCCAGTTGTTAATAACACCATGTGAGCAAGAAAAAAGCGTAATATGAGAAAAAGAGCAGGCATTTGTGCATGATTTCTTAAAATGAAATTCAACTTTCTTATATCAGAATTCCAATGGAAACTCACCCAATCTCTACCCTCTACATCACATGATGGATTTCAGTGTTTTAAAGAAGATTGGGGATGGGGGGTGGTTTGCATTATAAATATGAGTGTGCCCACTATATAATGTCATCATTCTTTGGGGGAGAATGTGGGTCTCCTTAGCTTTTATGTGTTGGTTTGGAATCTGAGTAAGCCGGTGAGTGAGGGCTGGGGGTAATCATTTGTCCACTTCCGAGCCATCCACTCTTTTAGATTCTTCATGTCAGCTGTCACATTAATGCTCGCCTCTTTGTTCTTTGAGTCACACACTGACTGGCAAGCTGCTGGAGGCTGGAAGGACGCTTTTAACAGATTAGTGCTGGGCCCGTCCTCTGCTCCTCTGGGGTCACAGCAGCTGCGTGCTGCCCTTTCAGAAGCCTGTCCTGAGAGGAGGGTGTGTGTGTGTGTGTGTGTGTGTGTGTGTGCGCGCGCGCGCGTGCACTCCATCAGCCTGTACTGTAAGGTTTCTTGAGCATGTGGGACTAGGGTTTTCCTAGAAATGCTGTTCGTCAAGGCCAGCACACATGGGAAGGCTGTCCTGTGCTTTGTGTTGTACCTGTGACTGTTGTCGTTTTGTGGGGTCAAGAGAAATCCAAGTCGTAAGACCAGTTGCCCCTCACCCTCGGACTCACCTGCCCTTTCACTTTATGCTCTCCAGGCAGCAGTACCTGTCCAAAGATCACCATAGACCCACCTTGTCTGAGCAATAGCACGACCACACTGGTGAATCAGAATGTATCTGATGAAGAGGCTCAGGGAATAAATGGAAACACGCCAGCAAAACACCCCGCTGCAAGTCCAAAGCCACAAGGTATGAGGCACAGTGGTTTTGCTTTGTGTGGGTTTTTTCCGATCAGATTGGGTGCTTTGTTCATTGAGGGAAGCTCCCCGGGAGCAAGATGACCTCGAAGGTTTAAACTATAAATGGAAGGAACTGGGTGTGTTTATCTTCTCAGGAGGAGAGTCAGTCTGGGCTCTGCAGGTCGGCATTTGCTCTGTTAGTAACACACAAAGTGTGTTCAACAGAGGGCACAGAGATGGCTACTAACCCAAGTCTGCAATTGGTCTTGTGGCCCCCTTGGGGAGGGTGGGCCACGGTGGGCCCTTCCTGCTGGGCGTGCAGCCAGTGAGGGTTGCAAGGCCTGTCAGAAAGTCCTCTGACTTGCCAGGTGTTGCAGGAACTGGGAACACAACTCTGAAATGGTGCATAACTGGCAAGAATGTGAGTCTGTGATACTAAATAACTGTGGCTTGAAGAGGCTCCTGGGTGAGTAACCCAAGCCCTCCCTCCCTTCAGGAAGCAGATAGTCACCAGGGGAAAGTGCTGTGCTGGTGGAATCCCTGATGACTTCTTCAGTCACCATTTCTTCTTAACAAATGAATTTCTCGTCAGCTGGGTTAACTGAGATGCAGAGTCACAGTCCTAGTGATCGAACCCTTGGAACTGCAAACAGAACCACACGTGGGGGCGGTTCCTCCAGTGGGCTTTCCTTTTGATCAAATGCTGGACAATCAGTCAAGAAATGATACTGGACATTTTTAGAGTTACTGTTCTCTGGAAAATCCTTTATTTTGTATTTTATTTACCTTGGTCTCATTTCTGTAGTTCTACAGAATGTATTATCCAATAACTGTGATTATTCTTGCTTTAAACTGGAACCTTCCAGAATTTGGGACCTTTGCTCTTAGCACTGTGGGTGGCATGGGGCCATGGCCACCAAGCAGATTCAGGTCACTGGTCATTCAAAGGAAAACCTCATTTGAGAATTTACCACCTTTTCTCTTATGTCCTACTCATCCCTCTACGAGTGACATCACTATTTTGATTTAAGCCCTTCTATTTCAAACTTTCTATCTTATTTCATCTGAGCCACCAAAGATCAATTATGAGGTAAGCATATAAAAGACAAATACCTTTTATTTTATTTTTTAAAGATTTATTTATTTATGCATACAAGAACTGGGGGACAGGCCAGAGGTGTGGGAGGTGAGAGGGTTCACCAGACAGAGCGGAGATTCACAAAGTACATTGCTGAGGGGAGCAGTCAGTGAGGCAGTGGGGCAGGAAAGGTCTGCTATGCCAGGTGGGTCATCTCCCTGGCCAGGATGGAAGTCATGCTGCAGGGGCTGCGGAGAGCTTCATAGTGGTGTGCTTTAACCAATTGCACCACCTGGGAGGGCCTACAGTTCCATTCTGATAATTGCCAAGATCAAAAGCAAGAATTTCTTTCTTTCTTTCTTTCTTTTTTTTGGGGGGGGCAAAGATACATTTTCATCACATTGTCATCTCACTGTTTCCCACGGCTAATTGGGATAAGTGCTAACAGTGTCCTTCCCAAGTTGCCATGTGCCAGCCAGAATATTCAGAATTTTTAGAAATACAGCAATTGACCTCACTTGTACTTTTTTGAAGTAATGGTAAAGTCAACATATTGCTAATCAAATACATGTCTTGAAGAGGGGGTCAATACATTGTTTTATGTAACTTTAGGAAATATTTCCAGTTAACAGAGGCATGACACACAGTGCTTTATTCTTATTTTAAAGTTTAAAATCTTCTAAAGTGTTAATCTCCCTCTCAGACCTGACCCTCCCGCTTCCCAGATCCACTGCCCCCACCCACTGGGCATCCCTCCTAGGGCTCACAACAAGGCAGGCCTCAGGAGTCCTGTTGAATGCGAGCTCCAGCACCTCATCACCACTATTTCATGTCCACCATTCTCAGTTTTTTTTTTTTTAAGATTTATTTATTTATGCTTACAGAACTGGGGTATAGGCCAGAGTATGGTGAGTGAGACCATTCACAAGAGACAGAGTGGGGAGCAGAACAGGCAGATTGACAAAGTACACTGTGAGAGGAGCAGCGCACGGGTCGGAAGAGGTCTGCGGCGCCATGTGGGTCAGCTCCCTGGCCAGGGATCAGACTCATGCTGCAGTAGCTTTAGAGAGCTTCATGATGCGGTGCTTTAACCCGTTGCACCACCAGGGAGAGCCCCATTCTCAGTTTATAACCTGGCATATTTGCCCTGCCGACCAGTGTCCGTGAAATAGAGCCAAATTTTGGGATTGACCACTCAGTGGCCATATAGATTGGGCTCTGCTTTCTGACCCAACCTGTCACCCTGGTATAACCTCTGGGAGAGAGAAGCTATGTTTAATCTTTCCAGTCCCATAAGAGGCTAAGAAGTAAGAGGATGCCCAAGGAACTTCCTGTGCAGAGCAAGAGACTGCCCAGGCACCTTTGTCCTACTCATTGCAAACCCCTTCCAAGTGATGGGGTGAGGCAGCCAAGGCCTCAAGGTCATTACTGTGTGGCTGTAATTTAACAAAGACTCTTCTAGCTTAGTGGTGCTGGAGACAGTCACTGCTCCCCCTCACCCCCCCATATACATACACTGGCATTACTTGGAGACTTCTTTCTTGGTACAACTTGCAGGAGTTGGTGTAAGAAGCACAAGACATTCTAGTTGTGGCTCAGAAGACTGCAATGCCCAGGCCAGGCCCTCCCCAAGACAAAGAAGCTTGAAGACATTATCTAGCTCGGAATGTCAGTAGTTTGAAAGTTCTGATCTGATCCTGAGAGAAGCTGTGATTAAATCTTGTTTGTTTTTCTCCTGTGAAGAGCAAATAACATCATAGCTCCAATTTATTTGGATGGGTTTGAAAGCAGAGATAACACTTTTGCCTGTGGTTATTACCTAATGATGTTTCTGGAGTAATAACAGGTTTATGTTGGCATTTGTTATTGACCAAATAAGAAAAAAAAATGGAAGAACTGCACTCTTTAAAAGGCTAAAAGAGTTGTCCTTTAGATGAGAAATTAGATAATCTAGCAGTTGAATCTAAATTAGAGGCTGGAGGTTTTGAAATGTTTCCTTCAGTAACCGAGGCTTGTTTGGCCTCAGAAATTCCCTCAGGCCTTGGGAAACAATGGTTTATTCACTTCATGCCCGTCCTTCTGGTCCAACACATCACTGAACAGCCTCTGCACGTCTTCCTTCTTGCTCACCGCCGTCCCAGCCTGGGTCCTCTCGTGCTGGACAAGACTCAGAATAGCTCCCTCAGCAAGCAAAGCCTGTCCTCCTGCCAGTGATGGCTTCACGACAGCCTCTGTTTTGGTTAATTTCCAATAAAGCTCTCTTCTCACCACGGAACATATATGTTGACAAAAGTTTCTTAAACTTGGACAGTTGCTTTATTGTTTGAATAATTTCAGCTAATGTAGTTAAAACCTCCACCACTGCTGCAGCGAAGCCATCTGGTACACCGTTAGTACTTTCTCTGGAGTGACGTAGATACATATGGAGCTAGTATTTCTCAGTAATACTGTGAGAGTGAACAAAATCTGCTCCCAATCCCCAGACTTAAGCCAGCAATGAGTTTGTTCCTCTTTTCATTCTCAGTTATTTTGTCCATCATTTGAGAGACTCACTAACAATTAAATCATTGTCATTTTTAAAAATAATATAATAGTTTGTTTTTCTGTCACTTTGTGCCTTTTTCCATCTCAGTTGTAATCCCTGTGGGCTTCCCATCACCAAATCACCCGTGTGCCATCACCGTAGTCCAGTGCACTTCCTTCCCCCACCCCCATTTTTTATCCCATTCCCCATTCCACCCCCATAAAATGTCTCTAGTATATAGTTGTTCATTATTATTTTTCCCCCATGGTCCTTTATACTCCTGCTATGAGTGAAACCATCCGGTATTTTTCTTTCTGGCTTATTTCACTAAGCATGATCCCTTCCAGCTCCATCCATGTTGCTACAAAAGGCATGAGTTTATCTTTTTGTAAATCATAGTCATTTAAAAGTGATACCAGGCCCTCCCTGGTGGCGCAGCGGGTTAAAGCACTGCACTGAGAATCTAAAGCTGCTTCCGCATGAGTTC